GCCGAGGGTATCATATCGTATTAATGCTCTGATACCATGTAGAGAATGTATGTTTTCTATATTCATGAAGAGATTGTACAGAGATATACATATTTATACAAGAGATAGAGAATGTTCTTGACCAGGTAATTACAGAATGTTCTTAAAACAGAGAAATCAAATATTGAGACATAAATGCGAATCATATTCATATCTCTTACAGGAACTAACCAAACTTTTCTTGCACTAACCACTCTTCATACACTTGAAACAAGACAAGTAACAAGATAAGAAGAGATCAAAAGACCGAACTAAATATGTTTCAATTTCAATAAGGACTAAACTCATCTTAAGACAACTCAAACGTATACGATGAAAGAAAATGTGTCAATTTCATGCTTGTTATAAAAATTTATATGCTAATTTAGCCAACAGTGTTAGTAAGTTTTTAGGCGTGAACGTGAAAACCTCCCTTTCAACAGTTATATACAAATGAATAAAGTGAAAGCTTCTTTTAGAAAAGTTTACGTGTTATCTATATTTGATGAATAGATTTTGAAGAAGTAAACAAGTAAAACGTGTAATGATGAAAGAAATATGACAATCTGATGCTTGGTATATAAAGATCTCTATGCTAATTGGCAAACAATTTTAGTAAGTTTTTCTCCTTTTAGTTTTAGATGTATATAAGCATGAAATTAATATTAAAATTAAAGATTTACGCGTTTATACGACTCAACAAGTTAAACTAAAGTCATTCCCACTCACAATGTTGGTAACAAACTCTGAGATTTCTCTATAAATAACACATTTTGTGATTTTGTCTTAAACACAAAACACATAATATCATTAGAGAAGAAAGAAAAATGGAGAAAACAAGCAAAACACTTCCTAAAGATATGATTATAGAGATTCTGTTACGGATGCCTCTGAAATCCTTGGTGAAATGCACCTGCGCTTCAAAGGAATTGGCAACTATAATCCGCACCAAACTATTCAGAGATAATTACTTGGTCCGATCGATGAAAATGCCTCGATTGTTGTTCATCGACTATGAACTTGGCGAACGCAATGTATTGTTTCACTCTGTTTATCAAGAGAAACCATTGTTGTTGTCTGGTCAACAACAGATGCGTATTTCTCTAGAACTACCATGTAACGTTTCTCATCCCATCCGAGGTTCGATTTGTCTTCAAGAACAAACTGAGGTTAAGATTTGCAATCTGGGTGCAAGAAAGTTTCAGACTTTACCAAAGATCCAAGCCCGTAGAGAAGCGGTCATAACAAGCTTTTTTGGATACGACAAAGATACAGATTTATTCAAGGTTTTATGTATGACAAAGTCAAGGTTGGATGAATCAGAAGAATCTAAGGAACATCAAGTTTTGACTGTGGGATCGGGTCAAAATTCTTGGAGACCGATCGGTTGTAAATATAATCATTCTCCAGTTACACAAGGACTATGTAAAAGAGGAGTTATATACTATGGAGCTCGGTCCAATAGAGAAAAATCTATGGTAATGAGCTTTAATGTGAAGTCTGAAGAGTTTACTGTCATTGAACTACCTAAGGGAGTCAAGATTCATGAACCTCGTTGCAAGCTGGTGAATTACAATGGGAACATTGCCTTAGTGGATGAGTATGACTTTGAATCTAATGTGAGTGAATCGAATGACAATAAAGTTTTTAAAATGTGGGTTAGGGATGAAACAGAAGGGAACTGGTCGAGAATCAGCATTGACATTCCTCGTTGGAAAGAAACTGTTGGAAATAAGGAGTTTTATTTCAAAGGTACCATTGGAACCGGAAAACTTGTTTTTGCACCATATCATGCGCATATGGGATTATTCTCTGTGTTGTATTACGATCCGGGCAGGGATAATCTCGAATTATTTAAGATTAAAGGAGTGGGTTCAAAAGGTCTGATTCAAGAGGTTCATACTTTGTTGGATCATGTAGATAGTCCTTGGCTTATGTAAGGAACCAGAGAGTTGGTGCATTTGATTATCAAAAACTGGTTGGTGGTTCAGTCTCTCTACTAGACTGATTGGGATCATTTCTATTGTCGTTTCATCTTTATTATGCGCTAAAATAATAACGAAATTCAGATGTAAGTAGCAGTGGTACTATAGTCTTATTGGGACAGTTGATCGGTTTTCATTTCCATTGTCTCTACTATTTATTATGCTAAATAATAATGTTTGACCAATTCGGATGCAACTTCAAATAAAGATTCTATACTCTGTTTCAACTCTGTGTATATTTTTTTAGTTTTTGTATAAATATGGACAATATATTACGCATATAACAATATTTTTATTAAAGGGGAAAATTGAAGACGAAGGACAAGATAAAAGGGAAAAGAGTCTAATATAAAGATTTATTCTCGAAGGCCAATAAACAAAGTCTTAAACGAAAATATCTAACAAATTTATGAAACAAAGAGTCTATGGTTAATCCTTTACATTGGTATAGATGGTTATAATATGCTTGCCTTTGGTTTTACTAAGTGCTTTCTCGAGATCCTCGAGATAGTCTGGATTATGGTTGCAGTTGCAGTTCCTGACTTCCGACGATGATGTATGGTCTTTTTCTAGAAGTAGCTCACGATATAGGTCTACCGCAAACCATATTCCGCCGATAAGCATGGCCAGTGGAATGCCGATCACATAAATAGCAACCCTGAGCTCTTCTAACGTCACCTCCATGCTTCTCTGATTCTAGCTAGGGTTTCCCAAATTTAGGAAATTGTTTCTTGGAAAAAGAAAAAAAAAACATAAGATCTATGATTAGGCAGTTTATGTATACTCAACGATAGAATTAGGATTCATCACGTCAGAGATTAATTAGGATTAGGATAGAGACTTGAAGTGGTAATTACATCATCATAAATTAACTATGATTTGGACGTCTTGGAAATTCCTCAGTTATACGTACTAGTGTTTTCGCTTTAGTTTCCTGAAATAATTTTATAAACCTATCCCCACTCTAACTAAACATATCTACCCTAATCAAATAATACAAACTATATAAAAAGGAGAATGGAAATCAATACCGTAAAACAACCTAATTAATTACCAACGAATCCATATATGACGTGAATAATCTAGCTTTGAATTATCAGGCATGCGAATATTGATACTGATGGAGAACAGAAACTTACCAAAGATGCGAGAGCACGACGAACCAAAGCAGAAAGGATTTATCCGGAGTATTCCAAGGTTTAAAAGTGATAATAGCAGAAAACCTAATTTCCCTAATTTCAATTTATAGTGTTTGTATTAAATCATAAAAGGAAAATTGGCTAATATAACCCAAAAAAAAAAACATAATATCTATGCAAAACACCCTATGTGGCATAAATCAAACCCACTAATTTTAGGGTTTTTGG